CATCCAGTTACTTTAGAGCCCATAAATTTCTGCGATTATAAAAAGACTACTGAAATGAGTTTTCATATGGTTTTCTTAACAGATGGCAGGAAGATAAACAACAAGTTTGGCCTTGCATTTGTTATTTTAGACACCGTATACGGAATGAATGCACAGTTTTTCAAGCAGGACTTCTGTGTATTTATCTTGCCGTTAGATGGATGAAGGACTGTGGGACAACATCCTCAATGTATTTTATTTGTTAAGACTCTCTTTCTTCCCTTCACCTTTTGAACAGTATTCTCAGCAGCGACAAATTAATTATCGAAACCCTATTAACTGTCAGTTCGTTTTAAAATAGATGAATTGATATCCGTTTTTCTTATTTATGTGCGTGCTCATCACGGTTTCCATAGAAAGGATTCCATAGAAATCCATAGATCACGGATTGGATTGGATTATTGAGAATACGGCAAAGCACACTAGGGCTATCTGACGAAGAGGAGAATTGCCTTCGTGGAGGACTTTCTAACGGCTCGTATACGCGTTACACATAAGGAAAACCACGAAAACGCCCATGCAGCCAGCCTGTTCGCTGGATTCGAGCCTCGAACCGAACTACCAGTGTTCAGCGATTTTACCGCTCGGCCACTGGTAGACGCTCCAAAGAAAGGAAAGAGATGATTTCTTAGCTAAAGATGCTTAAATTTACCAATTGATATCGATATTAACGTTCCAAAGACCTACTGGAAGTCCTTTCACTATAAGAAGCTTTTAGCTAAGTGGAATGAAGAATATATTTACCTTGTAATGCTGAGATCACCAAAAAGTTCTTTCCTCCTATTTACCATAGATTGCATTAGAGTGTTTCCTCTCTATAAATTTTAAAGTTTCTCATTTTTTTATCTGTTCACGGTAAATTTGCAAATTACCTATTTCGTTTCAATCTAAGATCAAACAATTTATATTGTTGTTCAAAAAGAGTACCTCAAGACGAAGAAAAATTTGATTTTCTCATGCCCTACATTTTATGGCCCTAGATTATACTTGCAGAGCGATTTGAAAATGTTCGGAGTGACTTGGCCAGTGAACTTATCTGTTTCCGTGAAGTCCAAACTGCTGTTCTCTGCTTTTGTTTATTTTATTTATGCATGCCAACTTTTAATGTTTTTGTTAACTTACTTCTGTAAGCCCCGAGTTGTACATCTGGGGTGCATAGGGAGATTCTATGTGTTAAAATTTAAAAAAAAAATACTTCTTGACCTAAAAGGCATTAGGCATTGGAAAGATTTTCATTTCAATGAATTTAACACATAGAAATTCAAATAGCACAGAACTGTATAATTGCACTTTTTTACTTAAAAGATTTTATCAGGTAAATTCTCTGTTAGTAATATAAGAAGTAGAAAACTTTGTGCCTTAAAATAATAAATATATGACTGCGCACTCGAACCAATTACTGCTGTTACAGATTAGATATGCAGAAGATTTAATTTCATCTGATCCATTCTCTTTGATTTCAGAGAGTGGACTTTCATACATGAAAAGTCAGAGTTAAATGGAGTTTGAGTATTTAGAGTTGATGGAGCTTAAATGATTTAAGTTTAAATGGAATTTGAGTTAAGTACCCTCAGGTACGAAAACGGGTAAAAAACATGGAACTGTGGACATATAGTCATTTGTTAACCGTCTTATGCCTTCTACTATATTACTTATGCAAAATATTGTGACTTGTAAGTGAATATTATATTGTAATGCAGGGGTATCTGTTTTCCTGATTACTTTAGCTACATTTCTCTCAAATTGTAGCAGAATCTTGAGGAAAAGAAGAAAGAATTCACTATGTTATTTTTCTATAAGAAACGATTTAAGGATTTATTCATAATCAAAGGTTTGAAATCTAAAACAAAATTTTCTTTTATTTCTTGCTTTCAAATATTCATTTTTGATTTTGTATGATTATTTTGCTTTTCTGCAATTTGTGAATGAAAATATTTCGTTGTAATAGAAAGGGTTGCAGAATATTTAAAATAGCAGTGGTGGGTTAAAATCCTAGTTATATCATAAATACGTTGCTCTGTGGTGCTAGGGTTTGCTCAGAAAATGTTAGGTTCATTGAAACAGCTTTGGTCGAAGACATTCAAAACTTTAGTATTAACTTTTAAATAATTTGCCACATAACCATATCAAAAAAAGGGCTATAATTATACTTTTGGATACATACATACATATATATAATTACAAAACAATTTCTTTAGAAACAAAATATAATCATGCCTAGTATTTTCTCCACCTATATATATCTCGATATATATATATCAGCATATATATATATATATATATATATATTATATAAGTAAAGACATAAAGTAAAAAATTTAGAACTAAATTTTCACAAACACCAAAAATTGAAAGGCTTATATTTTCTTTCTAGTTTTGGTTTATTTAATTATGGCAAAGCACACTAGGGCTATCTGCCTAAGGGAAGGGATGCATTCGTGGAGGACTTTCTAAGGGAACCTGGTTCGTATACACGTTACACATGGAGAAAACCACGAAAACGCCCATGCAGCCAGCCCGTTCGCGGGATTCGAACCTCGGATCGAACTACCAGTGTTCAATGAATTACCAGTGTTTACCGCTCGGCCACTAGTGGGCCACCATATTTTCTTTCTAAAAAATTGTTTTGCAATTATATATATATATATGTGTGTGTGTGTGTGTGTGTATGTATGTATTAAAAACATACTTATATAAACTAACTTATAAAGTAAGTGGATAATTTTAAATCTATAATATTCGCCCAAATGTATTTAAAATGGCGTTGACAAAAGTATTGCTGTAATTAATCAAAGTATTTCGGGAACGTTATAAGGTATTTCTCCCCCTTCCCTAGCGTGCCTTCGTGGTGTAGTGGTTCTGCACGCTGGGCCGGTATTCCAGAGGTCCGTGGTTCGATTCCAGGGGAAGGCGTTGTTAATTTTTCATCTTGCCTGCTTCCAAAAATATACCTAATGTCTCTACAAGTGGCGCCCGAACTAAAAGGGTTGTGATGATGATTCTCCGCACCCAGGATTCGGCGACTAGATCCCCTAAAACCCCAGTCGCCCTTTAAAAAGGGGAGTATATAAGGTATTTCTCCCACTTCCCTAGCGTGCCTTTGTGGTGTAGTGGTTCTGCACGCTGAGTCGGTATTCTAGAGGTCCGTGGTTCGATTCCCGGCGAAGGCGTTGTTAATTTTTCATCTTGCCTGCTTCCAAAAATATACCTAATGTCTCTACAACGTAATGCATTGAGTCCAAATGTACGATTAAACTAATACTTTAAAGACCAATACTGAAAAGACGATATCTTACTGGATTCAACAGTAAACAGAACTTCCCTAGCTTTTGAAATTTCCTTGAATGTTAAAATGAGTACGTTTTACTTATCGTAACAAATATATGCCAAATTTGTACGTAACACAGAGGATTTATGTTTTAATTTCAATAAAGAATTGTGCATTAGATACTTATGTTTTAATGCCTAACGTGTTATTCATCAATTTTCTTAAAGGAAAGATATTAAAATTGTAGAATAAAACCTTTCCATATTTTTAATATGTATGTGTTCTAGTATATAAATATAGTATATGCGAAGATTCTTGAGTTTAAAGATCCAATCAGTTATTTGCCCAAAATTTCGTGTTAGATACATTCACCTTAAATAATTATGTAAGAATTTTTTAAAGGCTAATTTAGTTAATACCTGGGATTATTCACGGAGAAGTTTTCATGAATTACTATTTTCTAGAGCTTTTACGCAGAAGAATGCAACTTTATTGCAATGATAAATAATAAATGCATATAGTAGAAAGTTTATTAAAATTCTCTTAAGTCTTTCAACTTAAGGTAGCCATTATAAGCAGGCTGTTAGGATCTGATGGAAAATATGATAACAGGAGACAACAGGGCAAGATGGTCCACTATTTGGGTGCTAAATAAATCGTAGAAGTAAACATGTGTCAGATTTTAGGATACTAACGATAAGAAATTATGAAACGTTGCCACATTTTAGGTTATTCGAGAAAGAAGAAATAGCATGAAGAACGACTGTGTACCGCTTCAAAGAGTTAATGAGATAACTTCTGAAACAGGTATACTCGGGCAGAAAAAGGGTTTGAGGAAATGAGATAGAAGTCGTGCGTTAGTAGTTGGTCAGTCAAAAATATTTCTTGTGGAATCCAGGTTTTCTTCTGAAAACAGTACTTTCAGTGAAGAACTAATGCACTTGCATTAAATGCAACGAGAAGACGAGGATGTTAAGAAATGCAAACGTGATTTTAATCTCATTTGGGCATATTTTATGAGTAAAATAAGATTTTTTTTCTATTATTACTTACAATTCTTAGTGTTTTGCGCAGTTTTTTGTTTTTTGTTTTACGGAAGGGAGCTGGTAACTATTCTGATATTTTGAATCTAAAGCAAACCGCGTTAGCGTCCGGTATTGAAATTTCGATATATAATTTATGGTAACATAATAGTACTCATTATTTACTTTTGCTTATGTGATGTTTACATGCATAATTTTTGAAATTTTGTCTTTCCGATTTTATCGTACTTCTTTCATTTTAAATAGTTATGAAATAAAATATCTCGAAAAATCGAAATCGAAAAAAAATCGAATTGTTAAGAAATTAAAAGTTGGTCTTTCAAATTTTATAAAGCAAATGCTCCCAAATATTGATACATATCCTTGAAGATTAAAATACTACTTACCTTCTCCCTAGAAGGAGTCTTTATTAAATGAACGCCTGCAATCCATAGTATTTTAGGGATCTGTTTCCATTAATTTATGATTTACAAATATAGTAATTAAGACAATATGATTTTAACGTTTGAAAGCGTAGATCAGCTACTCTATATCCTGCTGCTTTATCTTCAAACATTCATTATTATATTTGAAATTAACGATTTCTAGAAAAATTACTGTTGATACATGCAACATAGAATGCAATGAAGTTTAGAACAGCATCCCCTTACCTTGGATGTCTAATGTCCGGAAGAGTCCTGTTTAAAGAAATGAAATCGCTGACAAGAGCATTAAAACCATTCTCTTTATACAAGTCTTCTTTTGTTTTCTCAAGTCCAAGAGGCAAGACAAAAGGAGCTCCTTGTTCGCCAGGACCATGAGGAATGGAAACACTTGTCGGCTCGTACCACGATTTTTTTAGTGGTTCCTGAAAAAAAAACATAGCAGTTTGAAATATAGCAATTTGAAATAAATTTACGCGCATTTTGCGTCCATGTGCTTGGAAACTAATGATTTTTGAATAATGCACAGACAGTTGTAATAGTTTAGAAGCAGTGTTATTATGTATATATTCAGTAAAATATAAAGACGTTTCATTTATAATACTTCCTATTATTATCAGTGGCTCCTTAATATTTATTGTATATGTTCTTAAGAAGCATAAATTGTAATCTGAAATTCTGACTAAGCATTGCATTTTATTCAGAAAATAAATTTCATGTAAATCTTTAGAAGACTGGCATGTAATAAATGCATTTCGACAAACTTATTTAGGCTTTTATATTAAAATAGGAAGGAAAAAGAAGGGGTTTTACGTAAAAGGAAAATCCTTACTATTTTAAAATCTCAAATATTTCAGAGAAAGTCTGCTGTTAACAATTTTCAGACAATACGATTCTATAAAGCTTTCGAATTATTAAACCTTCTTCTTTTGATTTGATTTTTATGAAATAGAGTTTTATTCAAGGGAAATAGCCTGTCAAGCTGATTTAGGACCAGAATTGTATTATAAAAAGAAATTAAAGTTTTCACGTATTATTTTATTTAATGTAGATTGCATTTGGTGATTTAATTTCAACTAAGTTCGGTCGGTTGTAAATTTTAGAACAGAATTATGAGACTTCAGTTTTGAAATTAATAATTTTCCTTTCTGCTACTTTTGTGTCATGCTATAAATCATATTCCATTAATTTTTGCATGTCGGCCCCAATTCCTACTAAAGGAATGTAATGGAAATCTTGACGACACTTATTGCAACTGTTAGAAAACAAGAGCACTGATTTTCAAAAGAATTTTTAAATGCGAAATATGATAGCCTGTCGTATTATCGTACTTCTGAAAATGTTGTAACGGCTAATTTAAGGCAAATGCAATAGTTAATTATTTCATGTTAAATGAAAGTAAACTGTACTGAAATGAAATGCAAAAGTTAATTATTTTATGTTAAATGAAAGTAAACTGTTGTGAAATGAAATGTAAAAGTCAGTTATTTCATGTTAAATGAAAGTACATTATAGTGAAATGAAAAAAAAGTTACGTAACCCTTTTATTTTTTTTATGAATATGAAATTTTGTATTTAATCCTTTCGCGCTATGTAAATAACTGACACTTTCTCCGACATTCACTGTGCAAAGGATTAAAATCGTACATTCATCCTCATACGTATCAGTGTTTTGTAGTCTGTTCTAATTATTGTTTGATGATGATTGATGCTCCATTTTAAAATATTAAACTTATAAGAAGGTGAATTCGATTTAGCTTCCGAAGTGTTAAACTCGGAAGAAACTGTGTGTATGTTAGATGCTCAGTTTATCAGGTACATACTGATTATATCAGCGTCAAGAATTACGAACTCCCGTATACTCGCAAGAAGCCAATATCTAGCAACCAGATCTCATTTGTCTTTATTAACTCCAGCATCGTCACTGTATTGTTTCCTATTAGACCCTGTTGCATTTGCAACATTTGCAAAACTCCATAACTTGGCGTTTTCAGGAATATCTTCTAATTAGGAATGTCGTCCCAAACTCATTCACTCGCAATGATCAACTCATAAATTAATTTTTTGGATTAAAGTATCAGCTTTCAAACAAAATACAATTATATTTCAACTTCTATAAAGAGATGGTACTTTTTTTTTCCAGAAATGTTTCGTTATGTTGGTTATCTTTCAGATTTTTCATTTGCATAATTTTATAATGTACCATACATATTTTCATGTAAACTTTAAAAACACTTTTAATGGTTCCTATTCTTAGCCTAATTTCCCATTTATTTCTCACACATCTAAATTATTTTAGTTGTATACTAATTTAATTTACTTTATTTAAGTTACAATATGTTGAAGTAAAATTCTTAGGCAATAATAATTAAATTCTGAAATAAATTTTATATATATATATATTGTTTTGTTAAATTTCGGGCGCTTTTCTATGTTTTAGTTGATACCTGTATGACGGTTCTTCTTCAAGTTGTGTATTATAAATCTGAGTAAAAGTAAATTTCCTATGCTCAAAATGGAAAAATGTATATATGTTACGTATCAAAACTATATTTTTAGTATTCAGAATTACTCCCTAGATCTTAGCTCAGGGTGAAAAATATTTGAAAACAGTTTACAGCAAACAATTTGAGACGGTATTAAAGCAAAGTTTAAAAACTATGAAGCAAAATAACGTATTTCAATCAGTTTTTTTTTCGTAGCTTATTTCTCTTGGAGAAATCAAAGTCCAATTAAAAACCTTTTCTGAAATGTCTGATTAAAATAACTTGCAAAGAGTTTAAATGGAAAGCAAGTATGATATTAAAAATGTTTCCTTTTTTTCTCTTTGAGGAATTATGTAAAATGTGTCGAAAAATTACAATGGATTCCTGAGGGTAGAAAAAAGGAAATTTTTCTCCGCGTTTTCTTAATGACCTGTAGCTAATCAAATTATTTTTCCATTTACTGTTAAAACAGTGTTTTTCGGAGTAAAGGAAAAGAGGACATTTTTAGAAAATTTTCTTTCAAGTTTCCTCTTTTGAGAAGCAGAATAAAACTGCTCTGAAAGTGATTCATGTATCTCACCTCTTGTTTTTCCTTTCTGTTCTAATTGTTTTTCGAGCTAACAAATGGAAACTAGAAGTTTCTGTGAATTGTTTTTTGAAAAATGTTCCTTTTTTTTAACTCATTGTATTAATGTTACTCGATACGCTATGCTAAATGTATTTTTTTATTACGGTAACATAATTCGAGTTCAGGTTTCTAAATCAACTAAGCGAAGAATATAATCTTCTTTATAACTGAGAAAAGCATTGATAAAAATAATTTTTTAAGCAGGGCATACAATGATGAATTTTGCTACATTGATAATAATTTATGAGTATCCTTAAATTCTATATTAATTTAATTAGATTAAGCAAGTCAATATGTGATACGGATTTAACATTTCGATAAATTAAAAGGGATTAAATATTATAATCAAGCAAATGTGCATTTTCTTTTTCTTGTACAACTAGTTACTGATATCTATCCTTAAAGGTGCCATGTAATAAGTGCTGTTTACTAAGCAGATATTTCTATAGCTAAAATGAAAATTTTCATATTTTCATAATATTGTATTTGAATTGTGTAACTCAAATACACGATAATAACTGTAATGAATGATGCAAACACATAACGTTATCGTAAGATAATATTATAGTTTACGAATGCATAATTTTGATCCTGGTAAAGAAGAACCTACTAAAAGTTTAATTCGAATTAAATTTTCCGTTGTTAATAACCTTCCCGTGCGTAACGTGAATACTAGCCAGTTTCAATCAGAAAGTCCTTAACGAAGGCATTCCTCCTCTTAAAAAGACAGCCCCAGTGCCGCTGACGTATCTAAATAACCTTAAGCTAATCGACACTGAAAGAAAGTGGAACTAAATATTCTGATTCATTCTGAGACTTAAAATAGATGCATACATTCCTTGCATTCTTTGTTTGCAATAAAACTTAAAAATTCAAAATTGATAACTGTTTATTACAATTCTCCATTAAAAAATAGAACTTTTAAGTTGAGTCTTGTAATATCTTACAACTGCAAAATTATTCTGTTCTAAATTCAGTAATATTTAAGCCCGATAAAAGAGACATAAGAGTCCTCGTTTTTCTTCTTCTAGTTCATCAAACAAGCATAAGATGAATATAACTTTTATTTGGCACGCACTACGTGCCTGTAGCAAAAGGCGTGCCAAAAGAGTGCTGTCTTCGAAACTCCCGTGTCTCGTGAAAACCTCAAAAATGCGTTAACTAAGACAGTTCTTTAGAGTTATTAGAAGACCTTAAATAATGAAATGAAATAGTTACTCCTATCCTCGCAGCTAACAGTTTTAACCATCTGATCGGGATCGCGTCTTGTTCTACCACTCGTCAACATATTCCAAATCTTCAAGAGGTATTCCAGATCCTCAAGCACGAAATATGATTATTGAGGCCATATTTGCAGGCTTGAAAACTTCTATTCTTAGGTAATATGAACCATTTTAATAAAACAAATTACGATGCGCATTTTATGTTTCCAAACATTCTTTTAAATACACTCATGTGCAACATTAAGAGAATATGCACATTATGTCGATGTTTTGAAAAACTAATGAACGTATTTCAATGAAATTTGGTATGAATATACATTCATACTTGAGAAACAGGTGTACCATCAAGCAATCATTTTAATTGAGCATGATTATCAGTAAAGCTCACAATACAGGAATGTCCAAAATCCACGTTGTGATATCGAACTGCAAATGAATCGTCTAATATGGTGTATGGTCCTCTGTCGCAGACAGACAGATCACGCAGCATGACGGCATACCTGACGGCAGGCAGTTGAGGAGTCCCTGTGACAGTCGATCCTACTCCTGCAGCAAGGCAGTTTTTAACTCCTGGATGGCTCTTGGAAAGGGGTAGAGAGATGAAATTGCTCTCCCAAGAGCATCCCAAACATGCTCTACGATCTCCTCTTTGTGTCTCATAGCAGTCAGGAAACCTTTGTCAAACGCATATAAGAGTGTGCGACCATCCAACATAATGTCTGCCCAAACCATTACACCTTCCCCATCATAATGATCCTTTTCCCTATTGAGGGAGGAATGGTATCGTGTTCCAGGCTCTCTCCACATACAAGTACGCCAAGAATCACTTTAGAGGCTAAATTTCGACTCATCTGTAAAACGCAAGACGTTCCACTGCAGTCTGGTTCACGGTGCACCATGCTAAACGCGCTCACTTGTGTGCCGCCGTTTGGTGAATTTTCTGATTGCAACTTGCAGTGGATATGGTCACCTAAAGAACAATTATGCGCATAACTTTCAAAGTTTAGCTACTTCTGCTGAGATGGTTGCGATAATAAGTACCATCAATACTTAACAATAAAGATAAAAGACAAAAACAAATGTATTTG